TGAAAAATTGAGGGTTTGATCCAGTACAAAGGATGGTACATGTTTCGTAAATGCATAGACACACCACCAGACACAGGTAGACGATTTCACGTGAAATATCAAAAACAACCCCTTCTTAGGAAAAAGAGCGAGCATCGACATCGAGTGCTCTGACATCCGATACTCTTTTGCAAGAGATCAAACAAAACAGCATCACTAGTTAAGCTGAGAGTTGTTTCAGGGATAAAGACTCATTATCTGGCCAATTTTTAAGGAAATTCAGCACCAGGAAAATGTCCCATAAGGAGGAGTAGTGAGGAAGAGGCAGAGGCGTGCAAAACGAACGCTGCAAAGAAGCTGGCAAATAAACGGGTGGTGTCCCACCGGAGCACCATCAATACCGGCATGACCAGCTGAAATAGCTGAGCGTTAGAGGTTTACTGTCCGATATGCCTTCCCATTATCATAAAGAAAAGTAAAAAATTGGAGGACGTCACAGGAGTTGATAGGGGATCCACACCCCGTTCCACGCACCAATCATTCCATGTGAACCAAGCAGACTTGTAAGACTGTCTCGTGCCGGGTCCCCATTCCCCCTTGAGAAGTCCGAGGAAGTTTTGCAATCGAATCTCAAATAACCAGGGTCCCCGGAAAGTATCCACGCCATGAAATGGAGGAGGCCCTGTAGGATCAAGAGGTAGAGGGTCCCAACCAAGGTTGCGACGGCCAAAAGGGGTTACTATCACCAGAAACCCTGATTGGCGTAGAAGATGGAGGAGGCAACAAAGGATGAGGGCAAATTGAAGGAATGCATAATGCCTGGCGATAGACTGGTCCTGGGAGAATGCATTCGTAGCCAATGCCACAGGATCCGGCCTCCAACTGAAAAAGTTCAGAAGCTGGGCATTCAAGGGAGATGCGAACAAGTCATGGGGGGAATGGGTGATTTCCAAAGGACCCCAAAGATCCCAAATGCAGTAAAAGATTTGGGGATCGAGGTGCCAGTCACTGGAATCTCGCAGATGGTGGGAGTACGAAGCCGCCTTAATGTTGGACAATCCTGAGATATATTCCGCTCTGACCACAATATTGTGCTGAAGACAGAACTGCCAAAAATCTCAGGCCAAATTCGCCAGGACTTTGGATTTCGTGCCTTCTAGATGTTGAGATGTTGTCCATTTTCAATAGAATTGAACACTGGGATAGGGTCGGGGAGAGGCTGCAAATCCTGTCATGATATCCTCATATGAGGCGCCGCTGCTTTGGTACGATACCTGTAGGCGTTGGAGGGCTCGGTAGTGTAGAGGGCCTGGAAATATGGCTTGTATGGAGGCAGCCAGGAACTTGATCATGCGGGCCAGATGCTTGAGAGAGAATTGTGAAGTGGCAAGAATGTGTCTTATCTCCTTTTTGATGTTCTTGAGTTTTGACATTGGTAGGTATAGAGTTTGCAGAGACGAGTCCACTAGAAGGCCCAGAAACCTTGTTGAGTGGGTTTCCAATTTATAATGAAGCCCAGATTCTGCAGCAAGGTTGTGGTCCAACCGAGATGAGTATGAAGTAGAGGGACCGACTGGAATAACAGCAGGATATCGTCTACATAAATGATAAGACGTATCCCACGACTGCGGAGGAGAGCGATAACAGACTTCATGAGCTTGGTGAAGCACCAAGGTGCGGAAGAAAGACTGAAGGGAAGGCAGCGGAACCGCTATTTCCTTCCTTGCCTCGTGAATTGCAGGAAATCTTGATGAACTTCTGCAATGGCTAGGCATCTCTTAGGTCTAGTTTGACTATCCAATCTGATGGTAGGAGTAAATCTCTTAGGCAATGAATGCCCTCCATCTTGAAATGATGGTAAGTTACATAAGCATTTAGTTGTTTCAATTTGATCACAGGGCGGACTCCGCCTCCTTTCTTGGAAACTAGAAACAAATTGCTCACGAAACCTGGGGTTTGCATTGAGACTTCTTGGATGGCACCTTTCTATGCCAATTCTCGTATCTCCTCGGAGACGAGGGTCATGTCTGGTGGGGGGAAAAACAATCTCCCAGGGTGGACAACGTTGTGTGGGAAGGGACACAAAATCTATTAGATATCTGTTGACAGCCCTGAGTACCCAAGCATCTGATGTAATAAGAACCCAGACATGGGGGGAATGGGTGATTCTGCCCCCCACTACCAACAGGGAAGAAAATTGATAGTAATAAGGACGTCGTCCTGAAGGAGCGCCTCTTGACACCCAGGGTGTGCCTCCGTGAGGGAAAAGGGTTGGCGTGGACCTCTGCACAGGAAAGGGGGTTGTCCCCATGTAGGAGCCTCGGTTCGGACGTTGTAAAACTCTACTAACTCTGCCGGCCCCAGCAAAAACCTTTGGGTGGATCACCCTCCTCATATTTGACTGTGCCTTGTCTAAGGCTGTAAATATTTGGACTTAGGGGCCCAGGTCTTTAACAAAAGACTCACCAAATAGGAAATCTTTTGCCTGAGTGCCTGGCTCTGTAATTGCCAAATTAACGAGTTTTGGTTCGATCTTTAAGATGATTGATTAACGGCGCTCTGTGGCAAGTGCAGTTTTTGCATTGCCAATCAAGCAGATCAACCTCTGGATCCAACCTTTAATTGTGAGATGATCTAGTACATCGTCTTGAGCCAAGGATTTTTTTACAGCTTCAAAGATCTTGGTCGCTGGACCCAAAATATCTAAAACTTTATCCTAGCAATTGCGCAGGGAAAATCCAAACCCTTTTCGGGTTTCCATCCCGTCTTGCCCAATAATTTAACAATTTTGGGGTCGACTTGGGGAGTTTCGCAGACATGGTCTGGTACAGTGGGGCGTGGGCATTCAGCCCGCAATTTATTTATTTGCAGATCTGGACCACGATGTAGCATGCCACATGTTCAGCTGGTGACCATTCGGCTGAGCGGGGATGACGTAAGTCATCGGGATCAAATAAAGGGTCACCCTTGCAGGTCAAGTATTTTATCATCCTTAGATAATACTGGGTGAGACAACTCCGAGCCAGAAGTTTTAGTGGCAATAACCTCATGAGAGAGTTTATGATCCTCCTCAAATCTATTAACCAGCAGAGTTACCAAAGCTCTATTAACCAGCAGAGTTACCAAAGCTTACCAAAAACATTAACCAGCAGCACAAAACCAGCATACACCACTGCTTGCGCGGTAATTATTTAATCGCGCCATCTTTGACAGGTTTTAAACTGTCCATCATAACAGGTTTGGAGAAGTGCTTTGTTTTAGGTGTGGGGGATGATAGTTAGGAGGTATCGCGGCCGGCAGAGAGGCTGGAGGGACTGACAACTGGGCCTGTAATAAGGCCTGCGTAAAATACTTTGATATAGATGAGGACATAATGTCCATGGCAGAAGCAAGAGCTTTTGACATAGACTTAGACACAGTAGTGTCCATAAGCGCCTGAATTTCCTCAGAGGCTGGGAAATCGGCTTCATCCCCAGAAAACATAGGGGAAAAACCCAGGGTTAGTTTGTGACGCAGAGGGCCCAGGCAAATTGTTACAAGATTGAATAGTGAACTAATTAGAGAAACAAATTGCAAAAACTATTTTATTTTTAGAAATAACAGGCGGAAACCCAGGGTTAAGTAACAGGAATACAATTTTGCAGTAAGCAGAGAGCCGTCCAACCAGTAACTAATCCATTGGTAGCGTACGTTCGGGAACCGAACAACGCTATGGGAACACAAGCCTGACGAACATGGGGCCAAAAGAAATGAATGCGGCCAAATGCGCATCAGGATTTAGATCCGAATGCGAAAACAGCTGAATCACAAAATGGAACGCACGTGCACGGGCAAGCGGGAAGGACCCAGAGAGTTCACTGGAATGGAGCAGAAGCAGGCAGGTGAACTAAAACGAAAAAGAGAGCGTAATAGCACCATGGAGGTAGGGAAAAATTAGTATTAGTATTTTTCGACATAATCTCAATGATGCACCCTTGTCAAAACAGAACCTTTGTAAAAAACAAAAAAACAAAAAAAAAAACAGTAGATTTCCAAGAGTGATGCAGCTAAGACTTTGCATTCACATACTTTTAGACGCATGCATCAAAGCCAAGTCTCCTCTTCATCAAACACTGGTCAAAGTAATTCTGCTAACAGTACTGTTTAGGCTAGTTCACATCTATTCAGCACTAGCTGAAACCTTCGCACCTTTTTAGATTTTTGCCCAATTATTAGGCATCTTGACTGTGGCTATGCGGATAAATCAATGACACAAATCTGATTCAAGGGACTGGTGCCCATAGGCATGCGCAGGGGGGTTTGCAAGGTGTGCTCAGGCACATCCTAAGGCAGAGCCAAACTGTTCTCCTTGTACTCTGTTTAGGTCTCTGAACACTTCTGTGAGAGTTTGGATTAGTTTATGTTTTGAAGAAATCCTCTGCATACACATTGTTATCACTAGAACAAGAATGTGGATTTTGCACCTCCTGTTTACTAAAAAAAAAAAAAAAAAAAAATTACCTTGAAAAAGTGCACACCCTAATGTAATGTGCTGTGCATGCTTATGCATGAGTCTATGTATTATCTGGCATTCCCATGATCAAGTGGCCTTTTATAGTCTCCAGCCCCCAAAGTGTGTTATTTTGCCATTTTAATACATTTTCTGTTTTTTTGTGCTGGCCTTGCTCCTAGCTTTGATTGTTTGCTGCTTTCATAACACAACTAGTCCTGACACTGATTTTTGCATATGTTTTCAGCTTGTCCTGACCTGATGTATTTTTCCCCTGGTCTTACTAATTTTGTTATCTAACCTGTTATAGTTACTGTTGCTTCCTATTTCACAGCACAGCCAATCTAAGGTATAATACAATTCTTCTATCACTTCTTTATTAGGGGGTTGGCTTGTATCTTGTTCAGGATCTAATTTGTTTCTGACATATATGCCCCTTCTTCTACCCATCCATGCACCATTTCTAAATACTCCCTTAAACTTCCTATTCATACTGTTTCTATGTCTTCTCCAGAGCCAGCGCTACCATAAAGCGGCACATATGGTCGCCTTAGGACAAACCGTCCCTGGGGGCACTAAATCTGGCTAACCAGCAGCGCATTGCACAGCGTGTAGCGAGAACCGGGTGTAAGGAGGTTCAATAACCTCTACCCTAGTCTGACAAGAAGTACTCACTGAGAGCACTGAACTGCTTCATGTGAAGCCAGGGAGAGGTTACTGAATCTCCTCTCCTCCATATGTAGTGTTTGTATTGGTATGTGTAACTGTATGTGAATCATTGTTTGTATCTGTGAGTGTAATTGTGTGTCTCTGCATTTGTGGCAGTGTCTGTATCTGTGTAACTTTGTGTGTGGAAATATTTGTATTGGTTTGTCTGTACAGCTGTATGTGTGTGAGTATGTGTATCAGTGTGGCTGTGAAACTGTATGTGTGTATCTGTGTGTCTGTATCTGCATGTGTATCAGTGCAACTGTATGTGTTAGAGTATGTGTATCAGTGTGGCTGTGAAATTGTATGTGTGACAGTGTTTGTATCTGTATCTGAATGTGTGTTGAAATTTGCATATATGTGTCTGTATCTGCATGTGTGGCACTATTTACATCTGTGTGTATCTGAATCTGTGTCTATCTGCACGTGGGAAATGTTTGTATCTGTGTGTAAGTGCTTGTATCCGTCTATTTTCTCCATTCCACACAGATGATATCTGCAATAGTGAGTATATTCATTCTAGCACGAACACTTTAATTGTTTAGTTTTAACACTGTTTGTAATTGCTTTCATCACTTTATTTTTGTATACTCACTTTGCTCTTACAAGGATTTAATTTAAAACTTTATTTTTAACACTAGTACTTTTTAATTTGTCCCCCACATTTTAGCGTAGGACCCACCAAGCAGTGGTGGGCTTAACATCATATGGCCATGTGGTGGAACTAAATCCCCATATGTATTCTTAGATAGGCAATTTAGAAGCCTTCTTTGTGTTGTATTTTTTGTAGTCTGAGTGTGCCGCAACTATTTTTATTCAAGTATTTGTAACTGTGTCTGTACATCTGTGTCAGTGTTTGTATTTGTGTGTCTGTGTATCTGCATATGTATCATGGTTTGATTGTGTCTGTATCTGTATGTCAGTGTTTGTATATGTGTGTCTGTGCATCTGCAGGTGTCATTGTCTGTATCTGTGTATCTGCTTGTGTGTCAGTATGTGTACCAGTGTATCTGCCCAAGTAATATTTAATACCACCACGTCTTAGTAATCCAAACTATGTCATACTATTTCTTGTATGCCAATATTCTAAGAGCCCCCATTTTCTTACACAAACTTCTTGCATTAGCAAGCAGATATTTAAAGTTACCATTTGTTTCTTGAAATTTATTTAAACATGGATTTAATACCTTCTTGCTCTGTCTGCTAATCTTACCACTCCACCTATCGCCACCTTCATAGACATCAGCTGAAATCCCTCTCCTTTCTATACTACATTTAACATTCTTTGACCTTCCCCCACCTCCTCCAACTTTCTAATCATCTTTTGCCCCACTACAAAAGACCCTATTCCATTCAGGTGCAATCCATAGCGGCTATAATGATTGTATCCAAATGCAAAATCAGCCAAGTGCTCCAGAAACACAAAACCTTCCTTCCTACACCAAGAAGACAGGCAAGAATTGACATTTCTATATCACATGGCACAGTTAATCGCTCAGAAAAAAAAAGGGAAAAAAATAATAATCTTGAAGTCCTCTTTATAATAAGTTTACTACCTAATTCTATGAACACATTGTTTATGGTCCTTAACTTCCTCTGACTTGTCATTGATACCATATGGACAATGACAGCTGAATCAGAGCCACAGATATCCTTTATTGGTTGTTTAAAATCTGGCTGGTGAGGTAGCTCAGTTGGTAAATTCCCTGACTACAAAGCCTGTTCAAAAATGCAAGGTCACAGGTTATTGAGCTGCATTGGGAAGTCTGTGATTGGACAGCCACAGTAAGTCTGGGTGGGGTACAAAGAGGGGAGATTTGAGACAAGAGAGACAGGTTTTGGATAAACCTCAATAAAAATAAATAAGAAAATATTAGAAATGCAAAATTAAATAAGTGCAAATTTTCATTCAATTTACATGTATAGCAAGCAGTGATTTTTGTATTTGGGCAGTGGAGTGTCACTTAAATAATAGAATCCCCTCTCACCACAACCCACCTAGCCTTTCTTCTGTTCCTGATCCCATCCATACTAGAGGAGAAGTTCCCTCAGCTGTTAGAAGGAGCAGCTTCCTCCAGCACAGACACTCCTGTGCTGATACTCCCAACATCTTCACTAAAATTAGTGAATCTGCTGGGGTGTACAAAATCAGGACTGGCTATAACACCTGTCATCCAGCAACCTGCCAGTTCCCCAGCTGGCTCATCTCCTCCCACTTTACTATTGGCTCTCACTAAACTCTGCTCAGGAATCGGTAAGTGCATTTCAAGATTGTCAACCCGCCTCAACGTTGCAGGTTAGTGAGTAATGTATGGTTACTATGACAAACTGTTTAGTAGACAGTTCCTGTTACAAGGCAGGTTAGTTCAGTACTGAATTTTAGAGTTTCTCTGTTAAATTTTGTAAAAAAAAAAAAAAAATAACACTCAAATCAAATGATTCATGTGTGTTGAGCCTTTGACCTTCATTTTTGTCACATCCAGGGGAAAGCTTGGAGAAAACGCAAAAGAGAAAATTTAAAATTGACTAATATGGTTTACCATACAGGCACAACTGAGTCAGGATTTGTAAGAGCCCTAGTTAAACATTACTCTTCCAACTTTCAATGCTTACCCTCAGATACTTCACTCTCTTTCCCCCTCCACCCCCCCTTTCTTTCCCATTTTAATTTTAGTTTTTTTTGTTTTGTTTTTTAAACTTGTTCTCTACTAACCTTTAGTAATTAAGACTGGGCAGAGAGCAGGAAGAAAATAAATTCATGTAGGTTTTATCCAGCTATGCATTTTAGACTGACACTAGCTTATCCTTTCAGTCTACTACAATAAATACACAATTTTATTTTAACAATAGGTTCAGATAAGTCCAAACAACCACAATCTGGTTAATAGGCGATAGGTTACATCGCTTGTGTATTTTTAATATCTTTTTGAAGGTTTTTTTTAGATCTTTTTACATGATGTATGAATAATGAAATAAAGTCACAAACATGGCCCATTGTTGGTAAATAAGCAACACAATGTTTATATAATATAAAAAAAAAAAAATCAAATCACTCCAAACACCCCTGTCAGTCTTTATTTTATAAGAACAATTAAAAAGATATATATTACAGCATAACAGGGGTATGGCATAGATTAAATCTGTCAGTAATAATTAACTTTTTTTGCCTTTTAACAATTGCACCCAGATGTCTGCCATAAAAGTTTTTGGTGGAAAGATAAAAGTAAATGGGTGAGACGCAACGCATAACCTCATCGCGAGGATACAAAAGTTATATTGTGATTGTAAGATGCTAGGAAAATGCCCATTTAACTCTTTCTTGAATAAAATCCATGTGCAAACTGTTGTTGCTTATTCAATAGAACACCTTGCTGATTTGTAAAGGATTAATCACAGATGTACCCAATACAATGGCAGCAAGTTATGTTAAGACAAGCTACAACTGTACAGCAGTTTAAGCATTAAAATACTCAACTTAAAACACTAGCTTTCATAATCAAAATAAATGTAAAAAAGTTATGCTCAATTACCATTATAATATATGCAGTCTCAGATGATTTGCAGGTTGTGTCAAAATGTCAGATTATACATTAAAGGACCACTCTAGGCACCCAGACCACTTCAGCTTAATGAAGTGGTCTGGGTGCCAGGTCCAGCTAGGGTTAACCCATTCTTTCATAAACATAGCAGTTTCAGAGAAACTGCTATGTTTATGAATGGGTTAAGCCTTCCCCTGTTTCCTCTAGTGGCTGTCTCATTGACAGCCACTAGAGGCGCTTGCGTGCTTCTCACTGTGATTTTCACAGTGAGAGCACGCAAGCGTCCATAGGAAAGCATTGTAAATGCTTTCCTATGCGACTGAATGCGCGCGCAGCTCTTGCCGCGCGTGCGCATTCAGCCCAGGAGGAGGAACGGAGGAGGAGAGCTCCCCGCCCAGCGCTGGAAAAAGGTAAGTTTTAACCCCTTTCCCCCTTCCAGAGCCGGGCGGGAGGGGGTCCCTGAGGGTGGGGGCACCCTCAGGGCACTATAGTGCCAGGAAAACGAATATGTTTTCCTGGCACTATAGTGGTCCTTTAATGCTAGGCTACAGTAGGGATAGGCCAATAAATCTGGCAATATTCCAGATTTTGGCAAATATTGGTATCGGTCACCATTGATACCGATATTGCCAATAATGTGAGAGGCGGCGGTGGCCTGGCGCATGCAGGGCCGGCACATCAATAAGGCAGCACAAGCAGCCATCTTAGGGAGCGCAAGATCGACTGACAGTCAGGAAGCATACAGCACTCCCCCCTACCAGTCACTCAGTGTAGCATGGTTAAGCAGAGCGGAATGCGGTGCAGGAGCTTTTTCTTGTTCCCGGCTCGACTGCCAGGAAGTGCTCACTGGCTGAGCACTTCCTCTCAGCTCCTGTACCGCGGTCCACTGTGCTTGGCCATTCTACAAGACAAATAATGACGCACACCAGGGAGGGGAGAGGACCACTAAGGAGGGAGGTTGGGCACACACTAAAGGACAGGGAGGGAGGGGGGAACAATAAGGGAGAGGGAGAGGAGGTGAGGGGAAATGAACACTAAGGGACAGGGAAGGGAAGGGAGAGGAATACCAAATATTCTTGAAAACAAAATCTGACTGGCATGTATATTTTGTACATTTACCACTTAAAAAAAAAAAAAAAAAAAGATTTGCTTAAAAAAAAAGTTAAACAAACATTCAGTAAACACTAGATTTGTGTAGAAATGGTTTCTTTTTTTCAAAACGGTAGATGTACAGAATATCAGTAGGTTATCGGCCTAAAAGTTCACAGATTATCGGTATCAGTATCTGCTCTAAAAAAAGTCAATATCGGTCGATCCTTAGGCTACAGGGAGATTTCGGTTTTCTGAATAAATGCGTTTACTTTATGGCTCCTCCTTGTTTACAAAAAAAAAAACACTTAAAGGGACACTCCAGGCACCCAGACCACTTCTGCCCATTGGAGTGGTCTGGGTGCCAACTCCCACTAATCTTAACTCTGCAAGTGTAATTATTTCAGTTTTTTTTTTTTTTTTTTTTATAAACTGCAATAATTACCTTGCAGGGTTAACTCCACCTCTAGTGGCGGTCTACTAGACAGCCACTAGAGGGCACTTCCTCCTTCATAGCACAGAAAATCTGTGCTACGTCGTCGCTGGACGTCCTCACGCTGTGTAAGGACCTCCAGCGTCGCTCAATTCAATGCTTTCCCATGGGGAGCAGAATCAGTCTCGCCCACTGGCCGCTGTAGTGCAGATGAGGAGGGACGGAGGGAGAAGCAGCGACGTGGGACATGTCGCTGCCTCTGGTAAGTCACTGAAGGCGTTTTCACCCCTTCAGCGACCGGGGGTTGGGAGGGAGAGGGGACCTGCAGTGCCAGGAAAATGGATTGTTTTCCTGGCACTGGAGTTTCTCTTTAATTTCCAAACACTGTCAACTAGATCTGTTAGGTTTGTCTTTATAATGGTTTATACAGTTCTGGATGACTCTGCAGTGTAACACCACAGGCATTTTTCGTCTATGCTGGGAATATCCCAGTAATACCAGGAGTCTTACAAGGTCTTCTACTAACACCTGGTTTTTGATTTATTTATTTTTTGAGCTCGCATTTGATGGTGACATAACTGTAGGAAAACAAACTATGCGAGCTAGAGAACAGCAGTTCTGCCTTCTACTTTGTGGTATATTAAATGAATACGCCAAACACCATAATCAATACAGCCCCCGCAGCGCATAGCTTGGGAAAGCCAACAGGTTCTTGCTGAGGAACTTCCAGCTCCCTGGTGGCAACCATGTAAGATGTCAAAAATGGTTTTACAATGGGGTGAGAATGCCAGGACACCCCTGACACAATAACCACTACAGCAAAGATATGAGCTTTGAGAGTTCCTTTAAAAACTTTATGTTCAAATACATATTGCCTGTTGCTTGTGTACCCAACCCCCACACCAAAAAACGGAATGTAAGAAAATCATTGGCTTGCTTTAATAATGTTAATAGCAATGAGGATATTTCACGTGGTTTCTATAAAGCTTTTTCTAATGGTCCCAACTAAAATCCATCTCAAATTATGTCCTTGGACGACCTGTCAGCAAATCTTGTACTTCTAACAAGATTTCCCAGCCTCTAATTTAACCCCTTAAGGACCAAACTTCTGGAATAAAAGGGAATCATGACATGTCACGTGTCCTTACTAGTTGAAAGAGTAACAAGTGGTTAAAGGAACTCCAAGTACCATAACCACAACAGCACACTCATTATAAAAGGAGTCAAACTATTTTAGAACGAATGGACCGCTTGCCTCGGGTCTGCTACATGCAGCTTCCCCTCCCCTACTAACTTTAGTGGGCTGGAAACTCCAAAGCAGGTGCTTCTGTTTGATCTCCTGAGCTTAGCGCACATAGATACATTCTGGGTCTCCAAAAGAAGAAGTAGAGGCAGGGAGACAGACCTAGCAGACACCAAGTAAAATGTCAAAATGTTCTAGAAGAGTTTTTCTGGCATTAAGAGTGTGGCTAAGAAGGCTGGCTTATGATGCAACATTCTGCAAAAGTTAAAAAATAAATAAAAGAATTGTGCAAAAACTAAAGATTTGACCATTCAAAAAAAGACAGCATATTAATGAGGCCAAAAATCTATCAAATGCATTATAGTAGTATTGGTGCCTAAGGTGTCCTTTAACACTATGGGGCAAGGCAAATCCAGTACCACTGTGTCAGGCCTTTTACATCATTTGTCATAAATAGGTTAAATTATACACAAATTAATCCTCTACTAGTGATGGCCTGGCGAGATTATTGAACAGTATGGATAAGTTTGTAAGCATTGTAAGAGTTTGTAAGCATTGCCGATTTGAGTAATACTGTGTCGGTCTATTAAGTGCTTCTACAACACTTTAAATTTACATTGTGCTATGTAATATTTTGTAAGTAATGTTTGGCATTTTATTTTTTTCAGGACAGGATATAAACTTTCCAATTGAAAGCATTACTAATATCCAAAGGGGGACATTTACTGATCAGCCACTTATAAGGCACAATCTGAAAAGAAGCCTCAATTTGGATTGTGTTAAATATGCAAGATATTGATTGATACCAAATGCAGCGCTCCAAAAATAAAAATTGCTATTGAGTTGCAAATACTCAAAAAGTACATTTAGCATTCACCCACAAGCCTGCTAAAATGCTTACAATGATTTTACAGTTTATGAATGGCCTGAGATTAGTAAAAGTAAATGTGACCTCACCTCCTGAATTAAAAAACAGATGAATTGCTCCCAACCAAAAATAGTCATCATTGTTATCACAACTTCTCAGAAAATACTGCAGTTTGTAAGAAAGGAGTCGTCCACAGATTCATTTCTAGCTAAAGAGCTATGTAATTAGGCCTGCTCTCATTTTCAGCTGAAGAGAGGATTCAGAACTAAAATATATTTGCATTTGGAAACTAATTTGACAATAGTATGAGAACCCAAAGGAATATTAAAATGTGTCCTGCATAAAACAGGATCCAGTCATAAGAAAATGTTTACTTTAACCTTTTCAGCAGCAAAAACAAATGTAAGTTTTATTTTGGCTTCATAGGGCTGGATTAGTTTGCAGAACTGAATCTGACGAAGCAACCAACATGCATATTACGGACTCAAAATGTAAAGCATCGGTATACTGTACCAATGCACAGCGTAGATCCTTTCAGTTAAAACATTCTTCTTGTGCCAATACACCAGATTAAAAAAAAAAAAGTTTTCACCTTTTCACATGTTATTCGGCTCTAGTCACTGCGAATGAGCCGCTACGCCCCCCCCAAAAAAAAAAAAACGCTCCATTAACGGAATACTTTTCCAAATGAATTAGGCCCGCTAATTAAAATGTGAATCTTATTGCCAACATCATTCAAATTATTTATTTATTTTTTTACAATAATTGCTATAGAAGCTCTACGGTCAGATGGCCTATTGTATGCTTTTTTAAGATGTATTTTGCATGTTTTTCAAGGGACTTGCAGTCTAGGTGTATCTCAGTTTGGTAGAGAATACAATGAAGTTCAAAAAAATTATTATTTAGTGACTTGGTTCACAGTTTGTTATATGTCCACAAATGAACACTTTTAAAGCTTTTCTGAACCCAGAGTGGTCATCAGAATAGAACATTTTACCAAAGGGACGTTGCCATAGTTTTTGGAAATACAATACTTGGCAAAATCCAAGACTATGGTATACTATATCCTAAAACATGAGAAGTATCTGTGCTCTATTTAAGCAGCAATTCAAAAAGTATCTCTTTTAGTACTCAGTCAGTTATGGCTGCAACTCCCCAGGTGGACTATTTATGAAATATAGTGGTAAACCTGTCACAATGCTTTATTTTTACTCAAATACTTGATAATGTGGTCCCTTTTTGCATTGCTAATCCCAACCTCCCCCCTCCCTTCAAAACAAAAAAGTTTAAGAAGAAAAAAAAAACCCAAAACAATACCTACAAAATAAACTTAATTTTGTCTGCTTAGAAATATTTAATTTAAAACAAAGCATAATTATAGATGGGGTTAAAATTTCAGGTTGGGTTTTTGCACTAGAGATAAAGAAGAATTTTATTATTATTTATTTTTTTTAAACACCAGCAATATTAGAGAACTTTTAATGTCTTATTAGCCAGAGAGGTCTGAAGTGTATTCATCTAATGCACTACAGGACCGTCATACAGCAGAAAAACCCTCACTTGTTAGATCTGTACAGTTATAATACAAGGAGCAAGTTTATGCACCAGACATC